CTGCGACACCGTGCCATCCAGAGCCGGTTGGAGCCAGTGACAATTTATTGCAGGAAGGAGGGACGGAGCGCTCAGAGATGCTCTAGGGAGATGCCAGGGGGTCTCCCAAGAGGCAACACAGGGCCCTACAATTTCCTCTCCCTAATATTTGTTTTTTAAACCATGCTTGCCTTCTTCACGTAATCCTCTCTTCCTCCTCCTCTGGTCCACGTTAAACCCAGCACCCGGTCTGTGTAAATAGCACTGATATTTCTAGAGCCTTTCAGAATAAATACCAATATAGAAAACAAGGGAGTGAAGATGTCGAGGGATTTCAGGGCAAAACATTGCCCCCATCTCTTGCAAACGAGCCTGCAAAAAGCACTTGGTGAAGGGAGGCAGACGCTGGGTAGCTGCTCCTCGATGATGTGTCAACTGCTGCCCATTTTCTCGTGCCGTAATTGCCAAACGGCATCTGCGTAATGGCACTGCAAGCGCCGTGCTGCTGGCGGATAAGCACGGGGTTATTTCAGTCTCCCAAACGCTCAGTGCAAGTTAGGGGGGAGTTCAGTGCAATGGCAGACAAACCCGCAAACGCCGCTGAAGCCATCTCCCGGCCTTCTCTGGCAAAGCCACTGAGCAACCACTATGCCTGCACCAAACCTCTGTGGTCCGGTGTCCCCGGGCAGCCCCTGGCCAGGGCTTGACCCAGGTGGGACCTCCTGAATGGGGCTCCAGGGATGCTGCACGCTGGAGTCTCCCCGGTGACCGCACGTCCTGCTTGTCCCCCTTGAGCCCTCCCCACCAGTCCCGTGCTCCAGTCCTTCACCGATTTTACAGCAAAATGCCACGCAAAAAGCTAATTAATGAAAGCAAGCTGTGAGTGTCTGGAGAGCTGCAAGCTGGAGCCTTGCCAGCAGCTCAAGGGAGGACCCTGCTTCAGCACAGGGGTCCCTGGCCATGCGCCGGCAGACCAGGTTTGAGCCAAAGCCCATGACAAGGAGGAGCACGGGGGGGTCTCAGATGGGTAATGAGGGGGACTCCTCCCACCACCCCCTGCACAGCCTTCTCCAAGAGCGCTCAAATAGGTCTTTTTTTCGCCTAAAACAATTTCAGCAACTAAAAATAACATTGGAAAGGTCAGCGCTCTGCTATCTCGCTGCAGGCCGGTGATGTCAGGACGGAGGGGTGCTGGCCCAAACCTCTGAGTCAGTGGCCTAACGAGGTGGCAATCAAATCACGTCATGCACACAGCTGCCGCTGCCCCAAAAAAGCCTCGGAGCTGCCGGTGGCACATCAGCTCCTTGCTCCAGCCCGTCCAGCCGGAGCACGCAGCCAGCAGGGACAGAGCAGAGAGCCCACGGCTCGCTCTCCCCTTACAGCTTTTCTATAGGACCACCTGAGCTGGCTAATCCTTCTCCCACCGATCTATTGTGCTCCGCAGGATCACTCGAAGTCATCTTGTAAGGGTCACCCTGTTGATGGCGTACCCTGGGGACGCTGCTATTTTGCAGGTAGCTCCCGCAGCACTGCATTGATTTTGGTCCGTCTCAGCCCTCCAGCTGCAGATTTCCTTTCTCCGAGCGGCACGGGTGACCCCTGCGGTCAAGAAACCTCTTTCAAGATTTAATTGGCTCTGGAAAAGCCAAATCCTGCAGTGGTTTGCCTTCCAGGCAGTCAGGAGGAACTCGGAGGGCAGTGGGGAAGATGAGCTGGATCCCAAGCTGGCACCTGCCTGTTTCCTGGCCACTGAATGGGGCTGGTGGCAGGGCCACCATCCCAGCCCGCGGCGTTCTGACGTGGGGACAAGCCAGGTGACCAGGACCTGCACCTGGGCAATTCAGCAGATTGGGAGAGCAAGAGGGAGTTGACGAACCCACACAGCATCGACGGCTGTGCTCACAAGCCCATCTTTCCTCTGCCTTCAGTACTTGTAATGAGCAGTGAATATTTAGGGAGTTCTTCATGTCTCTGAACCATTAAGCACACAGAAATAGCAACAGATTTTGCTTATAGTTGCACCTTTCGTATGGAAGACAGCCTGTAGTGTGTGATGCAGCTCCCGCACCTCCCATTGCACGTCTGTGCCGAGGGCTGGGTGGCATCCGGGGACGAGCAGGGGGACACAGTGCGTTCCCACCGCAGCGTCGCCCCTGCCAAGCCTGCCCGTGGTGGGAGGAGCGGGATGGGACTGGCCGACGGCCATGCCTGAGGACAGGTCCATGCTGGCCAGTTTGCCCTAGCTGGCAGCTGGGGCGGGAGGTCCCAGCTGTGTGAGGACTCACCCCAAGGTCGCCCAGTCCCGCAAGAGGCACAGCAGCCTTCTTGGCTGTGTAACATGGCAAAGAAAGTGTTTCTGCAACAGCTGCCATGGGGCGGTGTGAGGGCCACGGCCAGGGACAGGGTAGCAAAAAGACGGGATGAATTCCTGGGTGAAATTCCTACCTGCAATCACAGCCACTCCTGGCTCTGGGCATCAGAATAGACACATCTGGTAGGGCCCAAACCTTTTATTTCCACCAAGCTAGAGCTATCCTTGTCCATCAGTGTCATGATGAATC